AAAAGTCCGCAATTGCTCCCTCCAATTGCTCCTCTCTCTCTCTCTCACCTTCTTATTGGCCCCACTCGTCAATGAGTCAAAGATAATCTTGAGAATGTCTTTCCAATATTCCACAAATATTTCTCTCTTCTATAAATTCAGTAAATCATTTTATCTTATTCCGTGGGTTAATAAATCTTTTTCCCTTGATCCCATAAATCAATTCTCTATTCCAAAATTTCATGAATCATTTTCCTTATAAATCATTTCCTTTGGTCCCGCACGTCAGAGACGGTCAATAATATTCTTGAGAATATTATTTCTATAAATTTCATGAATCAATCTCCCCTTGTTCCACAAATATCTTCCTTCGCCAGAAATTCTAATTAAACTTCCAAAATTCGTATCTCTCGGTCCAATCGTCCGATTGACCCCGTTCTACTTCCAGTATTTCCGTAAAATCGAGATCTATTTAATGGCACTATTATTTAGTCTAAATAGGGTCTTTTTCTTGGTCTCTTGTTTAGGTTTTTGTCTGTTTGCGCATAGTTGCGGTTACCGGATTTTCGTCGATCGTGGATATCTTGAAGATTCATGAAGCTTCGTGAAGACCCTGAGCAAGGCAAGCCACCCTTGAACATATTGAGCCTATATTTGAACTTAATTATATTGCTTGCAAAATATTATGCATTGATAGGATTACACTTAATTTGTTTGCCCCGTCTGAAAGGCAGACCGGTGGGTCTACCCAACTTGTTGCATCTGATCCTTCCATTGTTAATTGTTATATCATGTTCCCTTGTAACCATCTAGTTGCGCCTCGATATTCGTGCACTCTGTGCGAGTATCGACGGTTGCCTTCAAACTTAAAATCTGAGTAACTTCTTGGGTAAAACTTGGTTTGCAAAAGCTTTGGAAAACCCGACGCCTGGGTCGGTGCCTTGTGAAAGAAAATGAGTTTTAAAAATAAAACTCGCGACACAAGGCCATTCCTGGGCGGAATACTTGTGCGGTCGCATCTAAGGACCGATTCCTTTGGAATTACATCCGAGCATACAATAGTGCGATCACACGGGTGGAATGGGACGCCCCTGGCTGAGTAAATTGCTAATCGGGGGAGCCTTGATGCCGAGAGACATGTGGATTCGCCGGGGTGGTGTCGGGGAGGACCCCTGGGCTTCCTGGCACAGTATGGTCTGGGACCTAACCTGTTGTTGGTCTGGGACCCCTCTCGTCGGCATATGGTAAACCTGTGTCGGCTTTGGAAATGCCTTGTCATGAAAGCCCTTAGGTCACCAGACGTGGCCGTTCTACACGGGCTGGGTGATTCGGGTTAGTAATGTCGTGTGGGTAAAGTGTACCCCCTCTGCAGAGGTTAACAAACTGTTCGAATAGCCGTGCCCACGGTCATGGGCGGATGTGAGGTGATTCCTTAGCATAGTTTTTGTTTTACCCTGTTTTATGAAAAGGTGTTAAGGTTTGGGAAACCTAATGCTTGGGAAGCATTTAGCTGTCCGGGGGACAGTGGGACCGGGTGTCCCTGGAAGTGATTGGTCGTTTGGGGACCACTATTATCGGGAAGTTTGGAAAATTGGTTTGGTTTGGGAAAAACCAGATTTGAAGCCAACTCTGGGAGTTGTGCAAATCTTGATAAATAAATTTGTTACTTCTCACCTCCCGACCAAGCTGAGACTTGTCTCGCTCTGGTTGTGGAAAGCACACACTTAGATTGTTGAAAACTTGAAAACAAAATTGTTTGCAAATAACAGCCTTCCCTTGAAGCCTGCATTAACCACCTAAGTTTCCCTGGCTTGCTGAGTACGAAAGTACTCACCCTTGCTCTATATAAATATATATATATAGTTCCTCCGTCTTGAAGAAAAGATGAAGTGAAGCGAAGATTAGGGTTTCGTCCTGGTTCCCAGCCGTCGCCTGTGGTGTTGGGTGTTAGTTCGTTGGTTCTGCTACTGCTGCTGCTGCTGTTGGTGTTTCCTCGTCCGCGTCGTCGGTTGTATTCTCAGGCTGTTCTGAGCTACAACCTAAGTTAAGGTAAATAAGTCCTCTATTTATTTTAAGGATTGCTATGATTCATATTTGTCACAGTGGGTACCAGCACTATGTCCTAGGACTGGTACCGAGATCGCGGTTTCGTAGGAAGCGGTTCGCGCCGTTTTCCCTACGACACGCTCCTGTCAGGTGCCGTTGTACGGCGGTACCAGATTGGGGTGTGACAGTTAGCCTTCCAGTGGTTCGTAGGCGCCGCTCCAAGCCCCGCCACCGCTCGCCATGGCCTTGCCGCCGTCGGCGCCCGCTCCCGGAGGCCGCCTCTCGTCGCCGGACCTCCACGGCGCCTCCCCACCCCATCCGAACCCAGAAACGAAACCCTTGAGCCCCGGAGATGCTCCCATCCCTTTGAATCGAACCCTCGTCGTCTCGTCGTCGTTTCCCCCTTTGCTCGCCGCCGGTTGCCGCCACCGCGATTCGCCGTCGCCGGCTACCCTCCGGCAAATCTGAGCCGTTGGCTCACTCTCTCTTGTCCTCCTTGTCGTTCCAATGTGCTCCCCGTTGCCCTCGCCGTCGCATGGTGTCCCGGTGAAACTGCCGCCGTCCGCCGTCCATCTCGGCCTCCCCTTCTTCCTCCTCCCGCCGGCCCGCGTGGCTGCCACGTAGGCGCCACGTCGGCGCCACCTCGGCTTTGACCGAACCGAGCCAGTCAGCCGCCTCCTCCCTCCCCCACCCTCGCGCGCGCGGTCCACAGTGCGCCAACCGGCTGCGCGTGGGCCCGCCGCATCTCTGGTCCATCCGGTGCACGCGCGTGAACCGCGCTCACCCGAAACCCTAGTGCCACCCTCATGCGCCGCTCCCACGGTGAGCCGCGCCACTGACAAGCGGGCCCCACTCGGGACCCCGCAAGGTGGACTCAGCCCACCGGCCCTCTCTCTCCCCCACTCTCCCCGCGCCTCCTTGGGCCGCCTCTCCGGGCCGGCCGGCCCATTAGTTCGGCCGAGCCGTGCCTCTCCTCTCGGGCCGCACCCAAGCCGCCCGAGGAAGTCTAAATCATATCCCTCCAATTTCTTTCCAAAAAGGGTTTAATAAATTATTAAATCCTTTTTCCTTTAGACAGAAATTCCTTAATCCTTAGAGAATCCATATCTTCTCAACCGCTCCTCCGATTGACTCCGTTCCACTTCTAATAATTCCGTAAAATTGAGATCTATTTAATGGCACTATTATTTAGCCTAAATAGGGTCTTTTTCTTGGTCTTTTGTCTAGGTTTTCGATTGTTTGCGTATAGTTGCGGTTACCGGATTTCCGCCAATCGCAGGTTTTCTCAAAGATTCGTGAAGCTTCGTGAAGACCTTGAGCAAGGCAAGTCACCCTTTGACCAATTGCTCCTATAATTGGAAAATCATTATTATTTTGTTTGCAACTTGCATTATTAGAATCACACACTTAATTTGCTTGGCCTCGGTTTGCGTGCCAAACCGATGGACCTACCCAGTAGTCGCACTAACTCCTGTAGGTTGTACTACCCTGATTCCTTGTCGCTCCACCCTTGTGGTACTTCGGTATCCGTGCTCTCTGAGCGCGTGTACCAAATATCCCACATACACCGTTGATTGTCGAAAACTTAGGAAATGGGTTTGTGAAGCCTTCAAAACCCGACATGTGGTGTCGGTGTGTTTGAAAATAAAATGAATTGTGAAAACTCGCGATGCGGGAGCCGTGCCTACGTGGCGCTGTCCCGTATTCGCATATAAGGACCGATTCCTATGGGAAACTCATCGAGCATAATCAAAGTGCAATCACAAGGTGGAATGGGACACCCTGGCTAAGTAACTAGTCGGTTCAGGGAAACCTCGCATGCCAATAGTTGGGAACGCCGGGGCGGGGTCGGACAAACCGGGTTCTTGGTAAGGCAAGGACAAGAAGCTTGCTCACTTACCGATCAAGGTGGTTGGAGATAATTTGTGAACGCCTAAAATGGCCTATGTTTACGTGAGGATTTGATCCTTCTATGTGGCATGAGGTATTCCTGGGTCGGCTTGGGAAAGGCTTTGTCGCGAACCTCTTACACCGGCCAGTGTCTGGAGTAAGTTCGTATCTTGTGGGTAAAGTGTACCCCTCTGCAGAGGCTAACTAACTGTTCGAACAGCCGTGCCCACGGTCATGGGTAGATGTGAGGTGGTTCCCGTTGCGTAGATTTGTTTGCCTGTGCTTTGTGAAAAGTTGTTGTGGATTGGGAATCGTAACCAGAATCAGCCTATGTGGCAGATGGATGACCTGAGTGGTCAGAAACGAATCTGTGTGATTCGGGATGTCTGCGGGCATCATAGACTAGGCTTCCCGAGTGGAAGCGGATTGCTTAGCTGCTGGGCAGCTGGACTCTGGGAGTCTGCAAAAATGAAAAAGGCTCTGGGAGCCGCCTAATCAAGTGAAATGGCTCTGGAAGCCGATAAGTAATGATCTGACCCGGGAGGTCGGTACATTACCATTTGAGTTGTTGAAAAGCATCTCTTAAGTCGATTTGAGACGCAAGTCTCTTTTCGACCCAAACTTAAAAAGAAATAAATCACTTAGTGATTTCAAAAATGATTTCAAACAAAGGATTTGCAAAACAATCTTGCCTCTCTTCCAAGCTTGCATTAAACACCTAAGTTCCCGTGACTTGCTGAGTACGAAAGTACTCACCCTTGCTCTATATAAATATATATAGTTCCTCCATCCTGAAGCTGAAGATGAAGTGAATTGAAGAATAGGGTTTCGTCCTGGTTCCCAGTCGTCGCCTGTGGTGTTGGGTGTTAGACCGTTGGTTCCGCTGCTGCTGCTGTTGCTGGTGTTTCCTCGTCTGTGTCTTCGGTTGTATTCTCAGGCTGTCCTGAGCTGTAACCTAAGTTAAGGTAAATAAGTCCTCTATTTATTTTAAGGATTTGCAATGATTCATATTTGTCACCGTGGATACCAGCACTATATCCTGGGACTGGTACCGAGATCGCGGTTTTGTAGGAAGCGGTTCGCGCCGTTTTTCCTACGACACGCTCCTATTAGGTGCCGTTGTACGGTGGTGCCGGATTGGGGTGTGACAGCAGAGCTGGCGGGGTAGCTCGTGCCCTACTCCCTCCTTGCTAATCGATTTAGAGTAGGTACAATAGAAAGCTATATGCCAGCTATAAACACATATCGAGGAGACGAAAGAAGAGAGAGATGAGCAGCGGGCTACAAATTTGTAGCCAACTACAGGCAGCATAGGCTCCAAGACAAAATGTATTTATGACGGGTGGGACCATGTACTAATAGTGTATGAATTGGTTATTAAATTAACTACAAATAATTTGGATCCAGTAGTTGACTATACTATTAAACTTGCTCTTAGGTGCATTCTCCTCCGCTGTATCTACTCGCCAACTCCCTATCATCCACTTTGCTACGAGTTTGCTTTTTCTCTAATTCAACAATTTATCATCCACTTTGCTTTCTTTATAATACGATGTTGACTGTATCAACTGTTTCTTCATTCGTCATTGAATTGGATAATTTAAAATAAAACACTTAAAACACCCTTCACTACATTTATAGTATATGGTTGGGCAATTGATTGACCAACTAACAGTTTTGAAAAAACAAAACTTTTGTGCAGGCTCTTTTACACAATGTAGAAGTTTATGTTTGCGTTTGAGGAATTTTTTTCATTTTTTAAACGATGACAGCTAGCCAGCGGCCAGCAGATTAGCACAATAATACTATGAAAAGACCAAAGTGACGTGACCAATGGCATCATACAGTAACAGCACAAGCACACACTACACGCACTCATTGTTGTACGGCTAAAGAGGTGCACTGGGGCCGACTGGGTATGCGTTGCCCACGGGAATAAACAGCACGACGACATGGGTGCCTGGGTGCACCGATCCATGGGCCCTCCTAGTTCCCACACCCACACACCCACACCCACACGTCAAAGACCCACGGTTTCCAACCGAGAAGATTCATGCGCGGCTGCCCACTCCGCATATTCCGCGTGAATCCTCTGCTCTCCTCGCCCCGTTCTGCCCATTTTGCAGCTATCAACCATCGCAAACCACCGGCCCAGAGCCGCATCATCGTTTGGCTTGGATCCGCATCACTGATTCACTGCACTTCGCCCGCCGTCTGCAAAGTCACCGATCTGTTTGGTACTTACTTGTACCTTTGCTCACATGGTCAGACACGCTATGTTATGCGCCGACTTGCAAAAATTCCACTGCTACGTAGCACACTCACCTATAAATTGCATTCACCCGCTTCACACTTTCGCCAAACAAAACCAACCGAAAACAAACATTCCTCTGATAATTAAGTTATATTATACTTCCAAAGAATCATCGCCATCATGAGTGTGGAGATCCTCGACGGCAAGACGGTCCTGAGCTTCGTGGAGGACGAGGGCGCCTTCAACTCCTCCGTCGACGGCCGCTTCGCCGCGCTCGACACCAACCGCGACGGCCTCCTCTCCTACGCCGAGATGGCCAACGAGCTCATGAGCCTCCGCGTGCTGGACAAGCACTTCGGCGTCGACGAGGCCGCCATGGGCGCCGACGAGCTCGTGGAGCTGTACCACGGCTTGTTCTTGCGGTTCGACCGCGATGGCAGTGGCGCCGTCGACCTGGAGGAGTTCCGGGCGGAGATGAAGGAGGTGTTGCTCGCTGTCGCCAATGGCCTCGGGTTCCTGCCCGTGCAGATGGTGGTCGAGGAAGGCAGCTTTCTCAAGGTTGCTGTCGACAGAGAGCTGGCCAAAGCGGCTTGAAATATACCTCAACCGGCGAGCAAATTAATTTTCACATGTCCATTTACGATTTTGGATTGCTTCTTATTGTTCTTACTTCTTGCATTTGTTGAGCTATACTATGTATCGTTTTGATATTTCAGATGAAAACGGTACATCGATAGAACACTTGAAAAATCCTGTACCATTTTTATTTCTATTTCATTATTATAAATAATCGGAACACGACAACTGATTAAAAAACGAAAATAGTATTTCCTCCTTGTCAAAATATAAGAATTTCTGGGTTTCAAAATATAAAAATTACTAGCTATAAATCTAAACAGCTGCATATCAAGATTCTTGTGAAAAATTATTATATTTTTGAACGGAGTAGTAAGATACAATTGGGAAATTCCATACTATTTTCAACCTTACACGTTGAGTAATTCAGACATGAGACGGGCAAACGCGACACGCGACGAGCCACCATCTTTCCAGGCCATGGCCACGCCATCTCTGTGCGCCTCGACACGCTCTCTAACCTTCCTTCCATGCTCGGACTCCATGACCAGCCTCACCTTCGTCTCCACCTCCTCGGCGGTCACCAGCCCTTCCAGCCATCCCTCCATCTCCACGCCGACGCCCATGTCCTCCACCATGAGCACCTTGTTCATCCTCTGCTCCGCGTACAGCGGCCAGCAGAGCATCGGCACCCCCGCGGTGATCCCCTCTAGCACCGAGTTCCACCCGCAGTGCGTCACGAACGCGGCGGTGGCGCGGTGGCGGAGGATGCTCGGCTGGGGCACCCAGCTGTTGACGACGAGGCCGCGGCCGCTGGTTCTTGCGAAGAACACCTCCGGTAGGAGCGCGTCGAGGTGTTGGGTGCTGGTTGCCCGAACCACCCACAGGAAGCGGTGGCCGGACTTGTCCAGGCCGGCGGCGATCTCCTTCAGCTGCTGGTCGGACTGTTCACATGCGTCGGCGATGCTCCCGAAGCAGAGGAACATGACGCTGCGGTCGGGTTGTCAGTCGAGCCACACGAGGCACTGATGTCGGCTGCTCTCATCACCGGCGGCGGCGGCGGCTTTGTCGACCAGTGGCCCCACGGCGTACACCGGCGGGATTACCACGCCGTCGGGGCAGCAGCGCGGGTCGGCGAGAGCTCGCAGCGCCCGCTCCTCCAGCGACACGGACGTGTTGATCAGGATTCCGTCGAACTCCGCCTTCATGCGCGCACCGGCAAAAATCATGGCCTCGAAATCCTTGTTCACCTCGCTAATCGGCCCAAAAAGGCCAGCCAAGTGAGAAGCCGACATGGGTCGAACACCCAAGAACTCGACAGGACTAGTACTATCTCCTCCCAGATGCTTCTTGAACCCGTCAACAAGCAGAGGAGCCTGCAAGTTAACGGCGAGGTGGCCGGCGTTGGACGGGTAGAACATCAAGACAGGGACTCCCAGCTTCCTCGCGGCTTCATGGGCATGGGCGCACGATGCGTCGATGACCACGGCATGGAGGCCCCGCACGGAGCGGAGGAAGTCGTGGAGGTGCTCGTTGTGGCGTCGCACGAGGTCGAAGTAGTTCTTGAAGAACTGATCGTTGAAGGCGAGCGAGGGAGGGTCCGGGATGCCCGGGAGCGTGTGGAAGGAGATGGTGGAGCTCTTGGAGGAGACGGCGCGGGCGACGGCGGCGGCGAGGTTGGCTTCGTTCTCCATGACCGACGGGTCGATGAGCGCCACGGCGACGGCGTAGCCGTGGTCCAGGAAGACGTCGGCGAGCTCCATCATGGGGTTCAGGTGGCCGACGGCGAGGCCGGGGTAGAGAACCACCGTCTTCTTCATCGCAAACGCACCGACCGGGAGGGTGGAATAGCTCGTCCTTTCTTCGCGGCACTGAAGCGCAACCTCTCGAGTTCTCTGTTCTTACGAGGAACTGATGAAATATGACTATGAGAGAAAGTGCATCCTGATATCCTCATTATGTAGGTTTTCAGGCTTCAGCAAATTTTCTTTCAAAAATTATCGAACGTATACAGTATAACTAGTTGGGCGGCCCACGCAATTACGCGGCTAGCACCCAAACAAAATCATATATTTTTTAAATATGATTTTACTTAAAATTTATTAAATAGCTATCCCATTGTTTTAAGACTTTGAAAGACCAAACCTTATCATTCTCGTCTTTCTAATTATATAGTTTTTAAAAGTCACACCAGTTGCTACCTCTTATGTCATCTTCTTCTTTATTTGCTTACTCGATCTACCACTATTTCTATTCATTCTTCTTTAAACCTTTAAAAATTAGATTTTATAGTTTTTAGAGTTTATTGTCACGTTGGGTTTTATTTTTATAATTTTTAGATGTCCCATCAAACGTTGCCATTATACTCCTCTACGGCATGTCCACTATTTCTTCTCTTTATTGTCATTGAGATTTTAAAAATCAAACATAATTATCGTTTGGGTTCATTTGTACTTTCTAGAAGTCCTGCCAAACCGTCAGCGGCTTTGCCATTGTACTCCTCTACGGCTCGCCCGCTGCCTCCCTTCTTTATTGTCGTTGTGATTTTAAAATCGAACATGATTATTATTGGGTTTTTTTTTTACTTTTTGGAAGTTCCGAACCTTTAAAAATTAGACTTGTAGTTTCATTTTTTACAATTTTTAAAAGTCCCATCAAACGATGCCACTACGCCCCTCTATAGCCCGTCCGCCGCCTACTCTTTATTGTCATTGTGATTCTAAAAATTGAACATAACTATCGTTGGAATTCATTTTTTATTTTCTAAAAGTCCCGTCAACCGTCGGCGGCTCTGCAACTATACTCTTATATACCCCGCCCGCTGCTTCTTCTTTTTATTGTCATTGAGATTTTAAAAATCGAATATGAATATCAATGGGGTTTTTTTTTTTACTTTTTGAAGTCCCGGTAACCGCCTTACTTGTTTGCTTCACGGCCTGCCTGACGTCTCTCCTTTTAATCGTCATTAGGATTCTATTTGGTGTTTTATTAAAAATTTTTATATGTCATATCAACTGCCACCACTCTACACCTTTATAGGCCTGTTACTTAATTTATCTCATCATGTGTTTTAGATGTTCTTTTCTTTCAATAGTCTTTATTTTTATCACAAACTAGCTAGGTGGCCTGCGCAATTGCGTGGCTAGCACCCAAACAAAATCATATATTTTTTAGTATGATTTTTACTTAAAATTTATTAAATAGTTATCTGATTGTCTTAAGACTTTGAAAGACGAAACCTTATCATCCTCATGTTTCTAATTATATACTTTTTAAAAGTCACACCAATTGCTACCCCTTATGTCATCTCCTTCTTTATTTGCTTGCTCGATCTACCATTATTTCTATTCATTTTTTTTGGAACCTTTAAAAATTGGATTTTATAGTTTTTAGAGTTTATTGTCACATTGGGTTTCATTTTTATAATTTCGAAATGTCCCGTCAAACGTTGCCATTATACTCCTCTACGGCCCGTCCACTGTCTCTTCTCTTTATTGTCATTGAGATTTTAAAAATCGAACATAATTATTGTTTGGGTTCATTTTTACTTTCTAAAAGTCCCGCCAAACCGTCTGCGGCTTTACCATTGTACTCCTCTACGGCTCGCCCGCTGCCTCCCTTTTTTATTGTCATTGAGATTTTAAAATCGAATATGATTATCATTGGTTCTTTTTTACTTTTAGGAAGTTCCAAACCTTTAAAAATTGGACTTGTAGTTTCATTTTTTATAACTTTTAGAAGTCCCATCAAACGATGCCACTATGCCCCTCTACAGCCCGTCCGCCGCCAATTCATTTTTTATTTTCTAGAAGTCCCGTCAACCATCGGCGGCTCTGCAACTATACTCTTATATACCCCGCCCGCTGCTTCTTCTTTTTATTGTCATTGAGATTTTAAAAATTGAATATGATTATCAATGGGGTTTTTTTTACTTTCTAGAAGTCCCAGCAACCGTCTTACTTGTTTGCTTCACGGCATGCCTGACGTCCCTCCTTTTAATTGTCATTAGGATTCTATTTGGTGTTTTATTAACAATTTTTATATCTCGTATCAACCGCCACCACTCTACTCCTTTATAGGCATGTTTCTTAATTTATCTCGTCATGTGTTTTAGATGCTCTTTTCTTTCAATAATCTTTATTTTTATCACAAATTTTAGTTATTTATAAATTGTATTCCTAATTGAAATCTTATTTTTCTTTTTCGAATTTCAGAATTTTTTTTATAAAATAGTTAATATCGTATTGTGTTCTTTTAATGTTTTTATTTTTTATTTTCAATTTTAGTTGTTTTAAAATTGTATTTCTACTTGAATTTTCTTTTAATTTTTTCTAATTTTAGATATTATTTTATTTTTATTGTCAATTTTAATTAATCTCGTATTGGGTTCTTATATGGATTCTTCTTTCAATATTGCTTATTTTTAATTCTGAATTTCAGCTAATTTTAAATTGTATTCCTTCATGAACTCTTCTTTTATTTTCTTTTGCTAATTTCGGAATTATTTATTTTTATTTCGAATTTTAATTAATCTCGTATTGGGTTATTATATGGACTCTTCTTTTATTATTACTTATTTTTAATTCCGAATTTCAGCTATTTTTAAATTGTATTCCTACTTGGACTCTCATTTCCTTTTCTAATTTTGGATTTTATATTATTTTTGTTTTTAATTTTGATTAATGTCGTATTAGATTCTTATATGGAAACTTATTTCAATATTTCTTATTTTTAATTCCGAATTTCAGCTATTTTAAATTGTACTTCTACTTGGACTCTCATTTTCTTTTTTTTTCTTTTCTTTTTCTCTGATTAATTGTGGAATTTCTAGCACCCACAGTGAACGTGGTGCCTCCTTTCAAAGCTGTTTTAATAATATAATAGATATTAGTTATTTATAAATTGTATTCCTAATTGAAATCTTTTTTTTTCTTTTTCTAATTTTAGATTTTTTTAAAAAAATAGTTAATACTGTATTATGTTATTTTAATGTTTTTATTTTCAATTTCGGTTGTTTCAAAATCGTATTCCTACTTGAACTCTCTTTTCATTTTTCTAATTTTGGATATTATTTTATTTTTTATTCAAAATTTTAAGTAATCCCGTATTGGGTTCTTATATGGATTCTTCTTTCAGTATTGCTTTTTTTAATTTAGAATTTTAGCTATTTTTAAATTTTATTCCTACTTGAACTCTTCTTTTATTTTCTTTTGCTAATTTCGGATTTATTTTTATTTTTATTCTGAATTTTAATTAATCTCGTATTGGGTTCTTATATGGATACTTCTTTCAATATTCCTTATTTTAATTCCGAATTTCAGCTATTTTTAAATTGTATTCTAACTTGGACTCTCCTTTCCTTTTCTAATTTTGGATTTTATTTTATTTTTATTTTGAATTTTGATTAATCTCGCATTGGGTTCTTATATGGAAACTTCTTTCAATATTGCTTATTTTTAATTCTAAATTTCAGCTATTTTAAAATTATATTCCTACTTGGACTCTCACTTCCTTTTCTATATTTGGATTTTATTTTATTTTTATTTTGAATTTTGATTAATCTCGTATTGGGTTCTTATATGGAAACTTCTTTCAATATTCTTTATTTTTAATTCCGAATTTCAGCTATTTTTAAATTGTATTTCTACTTGGACTCTCCTTTTCGTTTCTAATTTTGGATTTTATTTTATTTTTATTTCGAATTTTGATTAATCTCGTATTGGGTTCTTATATGGAAACTTCTTTCAATATTGCTTATTTTTAATTCCGAATTTCAGCTATTTTTAAATTGGACTTCTACTTGGACTCTCCTTTTTCTTTTTTTTTCTTTTTCTTGGATTAATGTGGGAATTCTAGCCCCCACGGCAAACGTGGTGTCTCCTTTCAAAGCTCTTTTAATAATATAATAGATTGTGAAAACTACATCGTAACTACCTACTGTATAATATAACTTGCATCGCATGTACTCTGATCTCCGTTTATTGTTATTTATCGCTTTGACTTTTTCTATTAAGTTTTTTCAGGTTTAATCAAGTTTATAGAAAATGTTAGCAACATGTATAATTCCAAATTAGTTTTATTTCATCTAACATTGAATATATTTTAATAATATATTTGTTTTGTTTTCACTACTCACCTTGACATTTTGCCCTTTCCGGACCGCTACCTGGGTTTCCAGTCATTTCGGCTACTGCCAATATTTTTGGAGGAAATAGCCGTTGTTCCTGATCCTTCTAGTCGGGAGCTTCATATCTTCAAGGATTGGGTGGAGATGGCGTAAACAGGAAGGAAAAAGGAATTTGAAATCCGTCCCTTCCCACGGAATCATCGGGCTTGACTTTCTTTACTTTCCCAGCCCCGCTCTTGTAAAAAAAACTCTTTTGTTTTGAGACTAGCTAGTCTCTATGGTTTTTGGAAAACTCTTCTCACTCTGGTCTCACTTCGAGGAATTTCTCGAAAAATAATGCTACATTTTTCTATAAAATTGGTGAACATAAAAAATATTTGACTAAGAAAAAAGTCAAAGCAACTTGTAATATGAAACGGGGGTAGTTTTATATATAATTTTAAACCGTTAGATTTTGCTTTGAGATTTGTATAAGCGAAAAAAAGAAGCAAATCATAGCGTATGCATACGCGAGGGAGTTTAATCCGACATCTTCACAATGTATCACATAATTTTAAAGTTATATACATGTTACATCGTAGTTACGTATAAACTATGTAGATGTACTGTAATAAAAAAAGTGACTACCAATTGATTTTTCGATAGATTTGAAGCTTGAAATATTACATAATTTTCAACCAATGAATACAAACCATTTTAATAACAAAAACAGAAGGACAACCATGTCAAAAATCATAAGTCTAGAGACAAACACAATTGTAAAACCTAATTTTAGTGTATTGTAACTGAGTGTATGTGCTCTATAACTAAGTTTAAATGTTTAATAATCAAATATAAGTACTCTATAATTGAGTGTAGCTACAAGTTGAATCTCAAGTAACATAAATCTTCATGCAAGATCCTACGGATAAAAGATAATAATAAAAAAACAGTAGCCTAAGATCTATCACTCTATGGAAAGATGTGGAGATAGGCCC